GCTGATGATGGTGGTAGTTAGAACAACAGCTGATGATGGTGGTAGTTAGAACAACAGCTGGTGATGGTGGTAGTTAGAACAACAGCTGGTGATGGTGGTAGTTAGAACAACAGCTGGTGATGGTGGTAGTTAGAACAACAGCTGGTGATGGTGGTAGTTAGAACAACAGCTGGTGATGGTGGTAGTTTGAGAAATTACAACATATCTCAAGAAGCAATCCATTCTTGTTCATAACATATTGCTTATCGCCATGAGCAATATTTAAGTGCCACTTACACCGGATTATTGATTGATGGATAATAAGAACGTTCATTAACTAATTGACACATGGAGAGCTAATTAATTTAGTTTTAACATTGAATTTATTAAATTGAAATGTTTTGTGCATGATTTGCTCACAATTTCCGAGAATTGTGTTCCGTATTAAGCTTCGTAATAAGCTTATTCATATTTCAGGGTTCAAAGGATCCTCTTCCCATGCTGCTGGATATATCATGACTAAAAACGTTTCTCCTCCGCATACTGTTGTATATATCAGAGTTCAAAAGGATCTTTTTCCATGTTGCTGTGTATCAGGACTCACCGAATGTCTCTTCCAATGCATTACACTCACCTGAGCTCTTATGTTCAGTATATTGAGCACTACATCCGAACCTCACAGATAATATGAAGTTTCACTTCAGTTTCGACTCTATAGATTATGTACTTTAGCTTTAATGATATAGATGGTGCTCTTCAGTTTCAACGTGATAGATAATGCACTTCAGTTTCAGCACTAGTGCAGTTTTAACGCACTGCACTATAGATAATGCACTTCAGTTTATATGCACCCTCAAAATAACGTGGTTTTAGTGTAATAAAAAGCATAGCAATATCGACGCTCTCTGGAACTAAAAATGAATTGTGGGGTTCAGTCTTTGAGCCCATTATGTGCCTCTGTAACCCTTCCACTACCGACCACATGATGGGTATGGGGGACATAATAAATGAGCTAAACTAATTAAACTAACTCTGGGACTAATAAGTATTCACATAGAGTGGTTTGGTGGGTTGTTTGGTTCGCATGCTTCAGATTACATGAAACTAATTCATGTTTTAGGTTTCTTAAACCTTTAAAAATGTTTGCTTGAAACGTGTGAATCAGTGTTTACGTTGCCCTGGCATCCCAGCCAATCAGAATCAAGTACATCAGGCGAGTGTACATGTGACTCATGTACATCACAGTACAAAAGGTAACCCTTGGAATTTATTCACGAATTTATTCACGTATATTCACTGATTTATTCACGGAAACCGGGTATTTCTACCATTATTGTCACGTTTTCGCCAGATATTCACTGTTTTCTATTCCAACGAGTTTCTAATTAGTGCTACAAGATTATCCTTTCATTGAGTCAGAAATTATAGGCTCTCTAAGGCTCCTTTCTCACTAATCCAAACGAACCTGACCCCCCCCCCCCTCATGCTTCCTCTTCCACTGATCCATGCGCATCTGAACCCCCCCAGGCCTCCTCTTCCACTGATCCATACGAATCTGAAGCCCCAGGCTTCCTCTTCCACTGATCCATCTGCACCTGAACCCCCCAGGCTTCCTCTTCCACTGATCCATACGCATCTGAACCCTTAGGCTTCCTCTCCCACTGATCTATCCGCATCTGAACCCCCCAGACTTCCTCTTTCACTGATCCATACGCACCTGAACCCCCCAGACTTTCTCTTCCACTGATCCATACGCATCTGAACCCCCCAGACTTCCTCTTCCACTAATCCATACGCACCTGAACCCCCAGACTTTCTCTTCCACTGATCCATACGCACCTGAACCCCCAAGACTTCCTTTTCCACTGATCCGTCCGCACCTAAACCCCCCAGACTTCCTGTTCCACTGATCCAGCCGCACCTGAACCCCCAGACTTCCTTTTCCACTGATCCATCCGCACCTGAACCCCCCAGACTTCCTTTTCCACTGATCCAGCCGCATCTGAACCCCCCAGACTTCCTCTTCCACTGATCCATGCGCACCTGAAGCCCGAAGGCTCCTCTCTGACATATATCCCACTTACAAAACCGTAATATGTTCCAGGCTACAGGTAATGCGTTATATCCAGGCGTCGTGTGTCTTCGTGGTATATCCTTCATTGGCCTTTTTCGTCTGGCTTTTGACTGACAAATGGTGCCATTTGTCTTCATCACATGAGCCGCCCTCTTTCCCATCTGCCACATGTCCCCGCGTTTTGATTTTGACAACATTTCATGCTTCTATGTTATGTATGAGTTCAATTGTTCAGAGCTGCGTCACAGGGGGAGCTTTAAGAACGCTCTTCATATGTTGACCACTCCACACACTAGAAAATGAAGGGACGACTACGTTTCGGTCCGTCCTGGATCATTCTCAATTCGATTGTGAGAATAGATCATTCTCAATCGACTTGAGAGTGGTCCAGGACGGACCGAAACGTCGTCGTCCCTTCATATTTTAGTGTGTGGATTGGTCAACATCCTTCAGCCACGTTATTGTGACTCATTGCCTGCACGCTCTTCATATGTTTTGTTATGCAGGTTCAAGAGCTCAGTTTACTTGAAATTCATTCCAATACTATGTATGAAACATTCCTTTTGTTTTGTCTCTGATAGTTTAGGTGTAATAATTATAAAAATAGTCTATAATTATTTGCGAATATTAATGCATTCCAGAAACGGTTTCAACCCAACAACTATAAATAGCATCATGCATAATAGATGTAGTGCAACAATTTACAATATACTTGTTCAATGATTATATTTAACTTAATTAACTATACTTAACTCCCTAAAGAAAACGGCGGGAGAGTGTGCTGGGGAGAGTTGAAAGGAGGGAGTGAGGGCCTTTCAGTGATACATACGATCAGTTGATCTGAAAATTTTAGTAAAGCACTGAATCAACTGATCCATTGTAAGGTAAGTAAAACACTTCACTGATCTTTATGATTTATTCAGTTTCACTTACAAACGGTTGATGATGGTAACAAACAGTGTGATGAGTGTGTTACACTTTGTACAGTAGCCGGTGACACTAAGCGCTAAGTAGCAACTAATTTATTCAACAAATGACAGGCAGTTTGCACAGCGACAGGGATCTCACTGTGGCATGGTTAGTAAACAAACACCGTCTGACGGAAGGCACATGAGACACACACACACACACACACAGAGACACGCACGCGCGTGCACATACAAACACACACACACACATCTGTGCATTAATTATAAACCATGGAAGGTCGAGACGATGTTGGACGCTTTGGAACGTGATAATATTTTTTCCTGGTAAAAAGTCGATGCTCTGAGAGGATACGAAAAGGAGAGAGAGAGAGAGAGAGAGAGAGGTCCAAATTAATGAAATATTACCTTTCGTGTTCTTGCTTGCAAATATCATGGTTTGGGTGTAGGCGATTTTTACTAGATCCTGACATGTTGCTCCTGTGGATGGAATAGTTGTGCGTTACACAATAGCTCCTCAGCTGTGCAAGCTCCCCATGCAGGGGATTTTCTTCTAGCAGTACGTATGTCTGCAACATGCACGCGTTTGAACCAAGAGACCTTCCACATTGAAGTGGCCCATTATCCCATTTTTCCACAGTGTACATGGATGTTTTGACAACAGAGTCGAAACGGATTAATAGGGTTTTAATTATATGTCACAGGGAATATTTTATCTGGAATTTCTCCCCAGCAGAGAGAGAGAAGTTCTATTCGGGTCTAAGTAAGGGATCCAATCAAAAGGGGTCCGATGGTAAATCAATCTATCCGTAGAAATATGTTCATCCACCCAGGTTGATACTTATATCACCTTCAGTGACAGTCAGGCTAGTGATATCACCTTCAGTGACAGTCAGGCTAGTGATATCACCTTCAGTGACAGTCAGGCTAGTGATATCACCTTCAGTGACAGTCAGGCTAGTGATATCACCTTCAGTGACAGTCAGGCTAGTGATATCACCTTCAGTGACAGTCAGGCTAGTGATATCACCTTCAGTGACAGTCAGGCTAGTGATATGACTGTCTATGACTCAAGACTCAAGTATACTTGTCACAGTGTAAATGGCGTGACCTTGAAGTGACTTAAAAGGTCTTGAAGTGACTTAAAAGCAGGATTCTGTGCACAGACGAATCTAATGATATATAAAGGACTCACAGGAAATGTTTGGGTGAGAAATATTAAGTTTCCTTTGTGTCAGTGCTTCAACAGATGGAACCTTGAGAGGACGTGCCTAGTAGGGCCAGGACGTGCCTAGTAGGGCCAGGACGTGCCTAGTAGGGCCAGGACGTGCCTAGTAGGGCCAGGACGTGCCTAGTAGGGCCAGGACGTGCCTAGTAGGGCCAGGACGTGCCTAGTAGGGCCAGGACGTGCCTAGTAGGGCCAGGACCTGCTTAGTAGAGCCAGGACGTGCCTAGTAGGGCCAGGACTTACCTAATAGGGCTAGGACGTGCCTAGTAGGCCCAGGACGTGCCTAGTAGGGCTGGGACGTGCCTAGTAGGGCCAGGACGTGCCTAGTAGGCCCAGGACGTGCCTAGTAGGGCTAGGACGTGCCTAGTTGAGCCAGGACGCGCTTAGTAGAGCCAGGACGTGCCTAGTTGGTCCAGCTCGTGCCTAGTAAGGCCAGCACGTGCCTAGTATGAGCAGGACGTTCCTAGTAAAGCAAGGACGTGCCTAATAGGCATGTCAAGCAACAAGGGACACTACAAACCAAGTAGGATCAGTACGGGCCAAGAGCTGTTAACAAGGAGACAGAGAGGAGGGGCCAGATTCACGAAAGCACTTACGAACGTGTACATCTTTCCTCAATCTTTGACGGCTTTCGTTAAATTTATTAAACTGTTCACAAGTATGAAAACTTCCTATTCAACTGTTGTTATTGTTATAAACAGCCTCCTGGTCCTTCGGAGTTCATTAACTGTTTAATAATTGGAAACAAAGCCGCCAAAGATTGACAAAAAATGTACACGTTCGTAAGTGCTTGCGTAAGTGCTTTCGTGAATCTGGCCCGAGGGTTCTGGAGACGCCAACTGGATGGTATCCCAGAGAAGAAAGGGAGAGAGAGGTCCATACTCCTGGCGTGTTTACAGAACGGAAATTTAAGAATGTTATGTGATTTTCTTAGAAGATATAGAGAAAAGGTGAGTGTGGCCTGAAGGTCACATTCTAAAGGAGTTGAAGGAGGCCTGGTCGAGGACCGGGCCGCGGGGACGCTTAGCCCCGAAATCATCTCAAGATAAACTCGAGATAGAAAATCATCGGCTCTTGTTCCATTATTACCCCCTCGTATGTTTATTTCCGCCTTATATCTTCACTTCCATACCCAATGAAGAGTCAGGAAGGGCAATGATGAATGTCGTGATATGGCAATCAATGAAGAGTCAGGAAGGGCAATGATGAATGTAGTGATATGGCAATCAAAGCTTTAATGTCTTTGATGCCATCATCAGTTATTCAACAGTTGACCTCGGAATTATATTTACAAAATATTGGAAATTGTTGTCAATCATACAATGAAGTTATTTATTCTGCTAATCAAATCTTCTCTGTCACACCATAATGCTTCCAAATGGGCTTCTATACATAGCAAAGCGTAGAAATGAAATACTTCTAGCTATAATAATTGTTTTTAAGCAAATAAGCTAACCATTAGTACTTCACAATCATGTATAACTAACATTTAGAAAGCACAGATCTTATTTTATGACATGACAAAACAAATTAGTATGATTTTGTTTACAAACTAATACACTATGGCTCAGTGTTTAGTGGCGATGGTCGAGACCTTCTCCCTAGTCCACACTTGTACCTTGGAGATAGAACGCTTGCCATAGGTAGGGAGGGTGTCCATAGGCGTTCACTAAGGACCTGTGAACGTCGGGCGTTCAGTATTGGTGACGAGACATGTATAGTTGTCGGAGGAGCTAGAAATTCCACATGTGGGAAGCAGTAAGAAGCCAAGCTGAGGAAAGTCTGATAGTGAAGCCTCTTCTCTCTGTTAACGTCTGCTAAGTTAACTGGGAAATCGAAAGTCAGAAGCGAAGTTAGGTGTGTGAGGGCGGAGGTGAGGGCTGAGGAGCACAACAGGTGGAGAGGAGCATGGTCGCTGGTTATGGCTGAGGGGAGAAGGCTGAGGTAAAGAAGGGGAAGGAAGAGGCAGGAGAGGAAGAGGGAAACAGATGCTGGAGAAGGAGCGGCACTCAGTCCTCCTTGCTGGATGGCTGCTTCGTGTTCACCTGTGTCAGAGAAGGAAGAGGGGAGTTAGTGACGAACATTATGTGAAGAAGGATGGTCACACACACACACACACACACACACACACACACACACACACACACACCTGGAGTATGCAGCCCCAGCATGGAGCCCGTACCTTGTCAAGCACTAGACGAAACTGGAAAAAGTTCAGAGGTATGTCACTAGGCTAGTCCCAGAACTAAGAGGCATGAATTACGAGGAAAGGCAACATGAGATGCACCTCACGACACTGGAAGACAGAAGAGTAAGGGGAGACATGATCAACCACTACAAAATTCTCAGAGGAATTGACTAGGTTCATAAGGATAACCTGTTTAAAACGGGTGGTTCGCGAACAAGGAGAAACAGATGGAAGCTGAGTACCCAAATGAGCCACAGAGACGTTAGAAAGAACTTTTTCAGTGTCAGAGTAGTTAACAGGTGAAATGCATTAGGAAGTGATGTGGTGGAGGCTGACTCCATACACAGTTTCAAGTGTAGATATGATAGAGCCCAGTAGGCTCAGGAACCTGTACACCAGTTGATTGACAGTTGAGAGACGGGATCATAGAGCCAGAGCTCAACCCCTTGTTAGCAAAACTAGGTGAATACAATTAGGTGAGTACAAGACATGAATCATTGCTATAAACAACATGTGGCTAGAAAGGCGGGATCCAAGAGTCAATACTTAATCCTGCAGGCACAAATAGGTAAGTACACACACATACACACACACACGCACACACACATGGAACCCTCGCGACTGAGTAAACAGCGTTCGGGAGTCGTAGTCCAGAGGGCCTGGTTCGATCCCGCTGGAGTCGGAAACAAATGGGCAGAGTTTCTTTTACCCTGATGCTAATGTTCACCTAGGAGTAAAAAGACACCTGGTAGCTAGACAGCTGCTACAGGCTGCTTCCTGTGTGTGTGTGTGCACTCACCTTTTTATGTTTGTGGGGGTCGAGCTTTGGCTCTTTGGTCCCGCCGCTCAACTGTCAATCAACTGGTGTACAGATTCCTGAGCCTATTGGGCTCTATCATATCTATATTTGAAACTGTGTATGGAGTCAGCCTCCACCACAACACTACATAATGCATTCCATTTGTTAACTACCCTGACACTGAACAAATTCTTTTTCTGTGTGTGTGTGTGTGTGTGTGTGTGTGTGTGTATGTGTGTGTGTGTGTGTGTGTGTGTTAGAGAGAAAGATATGTAGCAGATATAATGGAGGAAAAATAGATTGGTTAGAAAAATGGGGTCCACGAGCTAATAGCTCGATTCTGTAGACGCAAATACAAATAGTAGAGTAAATACACACACAACAATATTTAAAAACTCGTTCATGTTCTGAATAATTTTCAGTGTAGCCAGTTGAGAGTGTAGGATCTGTAGCTCAATTATACACCAGGGCTTATTTCGCGTGAAGTATTCAGAGGGCTGCGTGGGGTGTGTTTATACTTATAAAGGGGAGGGAGGAGGTAAATTTTCCTCTTGCTTGCCTTAACTGGTTGAGCTACAAGTACGTATTCATCTCTACATTTGAGGGAGCTAGAGGGGGCGCAGGAGTACATGTACTCTGACAGGTGTAGGGGGTAGTACTCACCCTTCTGTACATGTACTAGGACGGTGGCGGGGTGTGAACCCTGGGGGACACAGGAGTACATGCCAGAGTCACCAGGACCCACTGACGACACCACAAGTCGGGTCGTTGTCTCTCCTCGACCTCGGTCAATCTGTCAACAAAGAGATTTTGATGTATTATTCAGTGATGTTAGAATGAAATATATAAATATCTAAATATATATGCTTCAGATCTTTAGTATTTTCAGTAAATATGAACATTGATTTAAGTCTGGGTGTACAAACATTGCCACTAATAAATCCAGTTGCCTTATTGATATGTTCTAGTGCAATAATTATTTGTAAAGCCTCGTTCACATGTTCGTAGTTTGGGCGTTCGTGTTTGTTTCATGGTGATAAATGCTTGCCATCTCGGGGACTCACCTTCGGGTTGACACCGCCCCTGGGGGACTCATCTTTACCCCTCCACTGGGGGACTCATCTTGACACCGCCTCTGGGGGACTCATCTTGACCCCTCCACTGGGGGACTCATCTTGACACCGCCCCTGGGGGACTCATCTTGACCCCGCCTCTGGGGGACTCATCTTGACCCCGCCCCTGGGGGACTCATCTTGACCCCGCCCCTGGGGGACTCACCTTCACGCCGCCCCTGGGGGACTCACCTTGAGGTTGACGCCGCCCCTGGGGGACTCACCTTGAGGTTGACGCCGCCCCTGGGGAACTCACCTTGAGGTTGACGCCGCCCCTGGGGGACTCACCTTCACACCGCCCCTGGGGGGACTCACCTTGAGGTTGACGCCGCCCCTGGGGGACTCACCTTCACACCGCCCCTGGGGGACTCACCTTCACGCCGCCCCTGGGGGACTCACCTTCACGCCGCCCCTGGGGGACTCACCTTCACGCCGCCCCTGGGGGACTGACCTTGAGGTTGACGCCGCCCCTGGGGGAGTTGTAGTCGATGAGGCTGGTGTCATGGTACCAGTAGACCAGGGCTGAGGGACCGCGGAGTGAGGTCACCAGACAGGTGAGGGTGAGAGAGGAGCCCTCCTCGATGTACAGCTCCCGTGGCCCCAAGATCTCCACCTTAAGGTTTCCTGAAGCAGCGAGACAGTAGTGAGACGGACGAGGGCGAGGAGGAGGACAGGGACGGGCGAGGGGGACAGGGACGGGCGAGGAGGACAGGGACGGGCGAGGAGAATGGGTGGGAGATGGAAGTCAGACAGACATGATGGACAGAAAGGGAGGAGAAATACGACAATAAAAGGTGGGAAAGACAGTTATGGAAGAAGGAGGTATAGGAACATCCCACCACCCACAACACCCACATTGGTAACGAATCTCATCGCTATTAATAACAATCTCTACCAACAAAATATTGGCTCAAAATCACTCTTTTTCTCTTTTTATCATTATCAAACGAACCGAGTGAGACCTTTGAATATAATCTTCCCTCCTTGGAGAAGCTGTGATGTGGAAACCATTTAGTTCAAGATAACATGCGCCCGAGAACAGAAATATTTAATAAACGAGTAAACCAAACTAGTTGATTTCCAGCACTCGAACCAGGACCAGTTTAACTTACCTCTAGAAGTAACTTATCTCTAGAAGAGACTTATTTCTAGAAGAGACATCTCTAGAAGGGAAAAAAGGTTCAATTTCGGATCCTCGGAGCATTGGAAAATCATTCTGTGAATATCGCCATATTCATCTCTTCAGAGTGAGAGATATTCTAATTAGTATCAAGAACTGTATAAATATGAATTAAGGAACCTGCACAAGACTCGAGAGACTTTTGATTTGAATCATAATGATATTGAGTCAAGCCCCCTTACCTTGCGATGATTTCGGGGCTTAACGTCCCCGCGGCTCGGTCCTCGACAAGGCCTCCTCATATGACATTGCAGATGACACCGATTGGAGCAATCAATAATTGAGCTTCCGCTCTCTTGGTCACAACATTCTGCCTTACTGTACATCATCAAAGACTCCAATCGCTGATCGATGTTACATTTGATTAAATAAGTTCAAGATACATGGTAGGCCTTGATGCTGCTCTTCATAGGTCTATAATTCAAGGTCTAGGTTCAAATCCTGGGAATATCCAGCGCGTAGGTTCTAATCCTGGGAACACCCACCTCATGGCCTCTAATCCTTGGAACACCCGCCTCACAGGTTCATTCTCTCATCACCGCTCCAACGATTTTTCTCAGTGAACTTAGTGACTTGAGCCAAGTTTATCTCTTTTGAGAACAGCGTTCAGTGAACCAGTTACGGTGATTATGTCACCAGCCTGTGACAGCTGACGCGAGCTGTCAAGCTTCGGAGAGTAGCGAAGAGGAAGGTTAAGCTGATGAGTGAGAAGCTTCAGAGACAAACTAATATATATATGAACACGTTGTTCTGAATGAGGGTGAGAATAGCTTAAGGTACCTCAATAAACCTCAATAAACTTATTTATATTTAAATTTTAAAAAGGTAAGCCGTGGGAGGAGCAGCTTGAGCTTACAAAGCTGAAGAAGATGTGTATGTGGTGAAGCAATTATAACTTGAAGTACGACCCCAGAAGGTCATTACATCACTAAGAACAGCTCAGTGAAGGATGAACAAAGGTCATTCTAAATACCACGACTGGTGGAAGGATTCAACACACAAGATAAAACCAAACTCAAAGGAACTTTTAAGATGCTTAAAAAGTAAGATAATTATAAGGAGAAAGTTTTAAGCAAATACGAATATATAGCAGAGGATGAGTCACAATAACGTGGCTGAAGATATGATGACAAAACAACACATCAGAAGATGAGGAGACGAAAACGTTTCGGCCCGTCCTGAACGCACCAAATTATAGTCGTTTCTCCATCTTCTGATGTGTGGTTTGGTCATTACGAATTTATACCACTTGCAAGGGATAGGAGAACGAAGTGCTGGGGCAGAACGAAGGTTAGAAACGGTGCCCAACCACTTGTTTCATCGAGGATTAAACACAGACCTGGAAAAAGCCAGCTTGTCACTGTATCAACCAGTCCAAGTAGTTGGACAAAAACATGCTTTAAAGTATAGTCAATTTAAATCCCGATCATCTTAAAGACATGCAAAACCTCAAACTAAATAGCTACAGCTTCATAATTGTCTAATCGTTTTACACAAAAAAATAAAATTAAATATTTTCACCCCAACAGAGCAATAAACAAGAAGGAAAATATATCTGATGAAGCAGGAATGTTTCCCAGTTTTAAATGATGAATGTTTCTCTGTAAATTGTGAGCTGGCAATTAAATGGGAGGTAAAAAGAGACGAGAAGGCTAACGAGAGAGGAATTCTACAAACGTTGGTACAAGAGCTTATTATTATTTTAAAGTTTTAATTTTTATTTTACAATTTAAGTCTAAATGGACCGACTATCCACTTGGTGTGGTTGATAGAGCGACGGTCTAGTGTCTTGTAGGGTCTGTTTTGAAACCCAAATGGTCCAAGTGATTGGGTGTAGTTTCTTCACCCTATTCTCATATCCCAGGTCGTTGACATCCTATCCCAGCTCTTTGTCCTCATATTCCAGCTCCTTATCCTTATATACTGGCTCATTGTCCTCATATCCAGGCTTCTTGCACTCATATTCAGACTCATTGTCCTTATGCAGACGACGAGGCTGAGGCTTGTCCTTATATCCCAGCTCCTTCTCATATCTCGGAAACTTGTCCACATACCACAGCTCTTTGTCCTCATACCCCAGCTCCTTGTCTTCATATCCCTGCTCCTTGTCCTCATATCCCTGCTCCTTGCCCTTATCCACAGTGCTGCGCATCAGCTGTTCATCAGACTTCATCAGCTATATAATATATGTAAACAAAGTAGCCATGATTGAAGAAAGTAGTTTCGTAAATGGTTCCGTAAATGCTTGATGAATCTGGCCTTAATATCAGAGGCACACTATAGCACAGTTACCCCGGGGGCGTACGGTAAACCAATAATTTTCAAATAGTATTCAAAACCCTTTTGCAATCATTCAAAAACCTTGCATACCCTACCCCTTAGGGATCTGGCACAGAAAAGAACAAAATTAAGGGATCTGGTCGTCTCTTCGCTGTAAAAGAAATATAGGATCAGAGCTATTTACGTATAGGCAAGGCATAGGGTTGTATTGGTAGCCAGTAAGTTCGAAAACCTGGTTGTGATATATGTGTCAGGTTGAGGGTAGGTGCCGACCCGTCCTCGACTCAAATCCATTCCATCCAGCGGTCGACCCCACAGACGCATTCATAAATCTTTACATGCTGTTCATTCAAAATGGTAATTTTCTCAAATATTAATTATTATAATATTTTAGCATATTGTACATATTTAGCCATTGGTTAGGTCAGGTTAGGTGTTTAGGTTCAGTTTGCGATTATTTGTATTTGTAGTACGTGGGTTAAGAATTTATAGCGCTGTGGTTCGAACAAAATTCGTCAGTGAAGCACTTGTTCCGGAAGTGTTCAGACGTCATCAGGTGTGTGTGTGTGTGTGTGTGTGGAAAGAGGGAGGGGGCGTAGGTGAATACAAATACGTGAACACACACACACACACACACACACACACACACACACACACACACACACACACACACACACACACACACACACACACACACATTATATATATATATATATATATATATATATATATATATATATATATATATATATATATATATATATATATATATATATATATATATATATATATATATATATATATATATATATATATATATCTACACACACACACACATACAGACTCGTTGCAAGTTCTGGCGCTAATACGAGCTGCAAAATGACTCCCAAGGTAATGAAATTATTAAAGTTGAGTCGCTGAACCCGTCATCCCCCCAAACTTTATATCTTAAATTTGCCTGTAAAAAAAATTAAATAACGCATTGCGATTCTCTTCTAAGTTAATCATCATTATGAAAGTCAAGTGTCAGAGGAACACTTGAATAATAATGAGAAGGAAGTAAATAATTAAATATCGAAAGAAATGTAGTGACAAAAATATTGAAAGACACGTGAAGATTTTAAATTGTTATGGAAATCGCTAAAAATTGCAAGTTCTACGTGTTAAATAATGTGTCTTGCAAAATTGTTGCAGTCATGGAGGTCGTGTTTTGTACAGAAGTTGCAGAGATGATAATGTTTAGTGAAGATGATACAGCGGTAAAGATCATGTTCAGTGAAGATGATACAGTGATGAAGATCATGTTTGGTGAAGATGATACAGTGATGAAGATCATGTTCAGTGAAGATGATACAGTAATGAAGATCATGTTCAGTGAAGATGATACAGCGGTAAAGATCATGTTTAGTGAAGATGACACAGTGATGAAGATCATGTTTAATGAAGATGATACAACGGTAAAGATCATGTTCTGTGAAGATGATACAGTGATGAAGATCAGGTTCAGTGAAGATGATACAGTGATGAAGATCATGTTCAGTGAAGATGATACAGCGTTAAAAATTATGTTTAGTGAAGATGATACAGCGATGAAGATCATGTTTAGTGAATATGATACAGTCATGAATATCATATTTAGTGGAAATGATACTGCAATGAAGATCATGTTCAAAGAATATGAAAATGTGTTCTACACTTGGGCCACGCTAGGTACCTCAACAATCCCCCAATAGATTGTTCTCTCGTGTAAGAATTGACCAAACAATCAGCACTCTAGGATCCATTCAACCAAAAAACTTACCATTCAGTGGGAAATTATCATTTAACGATGAATGATAAGGTAAACATTAGAATGAATCATTTAGCCAGAAAAAGCCTTTGGAAGGGAGATGATGACAAGGATCTGGGATAGGACAGATGGAAGGAATAGTGCCCAACCACTAGGACAATCGGGGATCGAACACCTTCCTGCATGAAGCCAGTCACCTGCTGTACCAACCAGCGAAAAATATCTTGCTGCCACGATCTATCTTGCTATCTTGCTGCTATATCTGCGTGCCACCAAGCCAACAATTACTTCTAAATATATTTCATAGTTATATTTAATGTTGTTTGCGCCTGTGGCAAGAATTTGTACCGAAGATATCTCAAAAGTTATTGGTACCTTGAATTCCTTGTTAACCCTAATGTTGATAGTGATTGTGGTAGACGTAATGTTGATAGTGATTGTGATAGCTGTAATGTTGATAGTGATTGTGGTAGACGTAATGTTGATAGTGATTGTGGTAGACGTAATGTTGATAGTGATTGTGGTAGACGTAATGTTGATAGTGATTGTGGTAGCCCTAATGTTGATAGTGACTGTGGTAGCCCTAATGCCGATAGTGATTGCGGTAGCCCTAATGTTGATAATGATTGTGATAGCCCTAATGTTGATAGTGATTGTGATAACCCTAATGAATATATTAATTGTGGTATCACTAATGTTTATAGTGTTAGTGGTAAACTTAATGCTTAAGAAACATCTCCTGACAGTCGGTCTTGACTTAACACTTGAGAACTTGTAGTAGATAATATACTTAAGAGTTGAAGTTACACTCGGGTCTTGAAGTGCTCAATGTTGCAGTAATAACTCCTCGTTAATCATAGTTACACTTCACCCCATCATTCAACGACTAGTGGCCAAATTACCCGCAGCTGATTTAAGCAAGTTGCATTTGCAACGGAGAAAAGACAGACGATGCTACCCGCCAGACATCATAATCTGACACACCAACAGAATAATGAAGATAAATGGCTTAGTATCGGTGGATATCGAAATGTATTTATTGGGATGGCATTTAGCTTATGGATTACGGGAAGACGTATGCGTAGCATGCCTGGCATATGTATGCATAACTGTTATATGTATGCATGACTGTCATATGCCTGGCATGACTCACAGGAGAAACATTTATTGACCTGTTGAGGCAGATGTGTGTGGATTCCACATACTAGTACAGGTCTGGTTACTCAGAATTAATACACTGATGGTGCCTACGAAAAGGAGGAGAGAGAGAGAGAGAGAGAGAGAGAGAGAGAGAGAGAGAGAGAGAGAGAGGTGACGGAGGAAGGAGGGGCATAACAGAGGAAGGAGGGAGGGAGATTTTAGTCACTTATCAACATGTAATTGTGTCAGTTGCTTCCATAGGTGTAAACAATGATATTGTTTACAAATTGGGATCACTTAGGATCTTTACACATTATGGGATAAATGATCCTATAATGTTTATGGGATCATTTATTTGAGCTTGTAACGTTATCTCAATATAGAGGAGGTGACGATACTTACAAACATATGAAGCAAACTAAGGTAGGCCTATTTCTCCATATGAAACACCTAATTATATATTATATTGACCACAAGTCTACTATAGTACCAAACAGTTTGGTTCACAGATTAACTACTGTGTTTTTTAAACAGGGGGGATTGGTTCTCTGGAATTTAAGATGACATGTGGAAAGTGATATCATGTTTGGAGCAGAGGTGTTAACGAAGGTGATTCTCACCGTCCTTAGTAGACGCTGTGTTGTTGGCGACGAAGACCTTTGTCTTGGTCACAACATGGCTGGGATCTGTGGAGAGAGACAGATTGTGTTGATAAGGTTAGGCTGTATTACTTCCGTTTGTATTCCCTTCCGTTTGCATTAATTTTGGCGAGGCGTCATGTTCCTGCACGTGAACATGAAACCTCGCAAAAATTAATGACGAGATATAAATAATAGTTCTACCTGCTTCCAATATTACTTGCTGGGCTTGCTAATACTTAAGACGTTATGGTAATCGTTGCTCATAAATCCCCGTCTTAGCTAAAGCATTTTCGTTCAGCATAAATTATTTATTACTTTACACAATTATATATTCAAGCTATTTTGCTGTCTACACTTCACACTCTAGATATATCAATTTATTTATATATATACAATTCTTACATTTTTGTACAGCCACTAGCACGCAGAGCGTTTCGGGCAGGTCCTAAAAATCCTAATTTTTCCCCGGAATACGACCCGACAAATCGTTTAACAACCAGGTACCCATTTACTGCTGGGTGAACAGAGGCTACAGATAATGATTGGTGCCCAGTAAATCCTCCCCGGCAAGGATACGAACCCAGGCTAAAGCAGTGGCGAAGCGCAGGGTGAATGTTTTAAGACTGCGCCACGGGAGTACAAATATATTGAAACTATATTTTCCCCTCGGTATAAAACTGAAGATCAATCAAGGTAATCAGACAAATTTTCCATTGGGTGTAAGAATAAAAGATGTTTGGCTTGGCGCTTTCTCCTTGCAATTGCTAGTTCGTTTAAAAAAAGCCCTTAGGAAGAGTATGCAGACAAGAAGGTGTGATTGGAGGATAGTGAAGGGACGGTGAACAATCCCTTTGATCATCGGGACACGAGAGGACTAATGATACGGGGATAGTGAAGGACAGATCGCTAACCGCTGGAACCATCAGGGGATCAATACTGACCCTGTGAGAAGAAAGACACTGAAATAATTAATTTATTTGGATTTGTGTGTGTGTGTGTGTGTGTGTGTGTGTGTGTGTGTGTGTGTGTGTGTGTGTGTGTGTGTGTGTGTGTGTGTGTGTGCGAACTCACTTAATTGTGCTTGTGGGGGGATGAGCTCTGGCTCTTTGGTCCCGCCTCTCAACCGTCAATCAACAGGTGTATAGGTTCCTGAGCCTATTGGGCTCTATCATATCTACACTTGAAACTGTGTATGGAGTCAGCCTCCACCACATTACTTCCTAATGTGTGTGCGTGCGTGCGCCCGCGCGCGCGCGTGTGTGTGTGTGTGTGTGTGTGTGTGTGTGTGTGTGTGTGTGTATGTGTGTGTGTGTGTGTGTCTGCGTGTGTGTGTGTGTGTGTATACTCACCTAGTAATATTCACCTAGTTGTGCTTGCGAGGGTTTAGCTTCGGCTCTTTGTTCCCGCCTCCCAACTGTCAATCAACTGGTGTACAGGTTCCTGAGCCTATTGGGCTCTATCATATTTACACTTGAAACTGTGTATGGAGTCAGCCTTCCCCACATCACTTCTTGCTTCCACAACCTGCTCCCTAAATGCATTCCATTTTTCCACTACTCTCATGCTAAAAAAATTCTCGACTGTAACTCATATGAGTTTCGAGCTTTCACCCATTTCCACTCGTTCTGTTAGAATTCCGTGTGAACATTTTGTCTATTTCCACTCTGTCAATCCCCCTGAGTATTTAATATATTCCTATCATATTCCCCTCTCCCTTCTTATTTCTAGTGTCGTAAGGTTCGGTTACTTCAGACGCTCTTCATACCTCATCCCTCGTAACTCTGGAGCGAGCCTCGTCGCAAACTTCTGAACCTTTTACAGTTTTCTTATGTGTTTCTTCAGGTTGGGACTCAATGATGGGGTGGCATAGTGTAAGACTGGCCTCACGTAGGCAGTGTAGAGTGCCCTAAATCCCTCCTTACTTAGGTTTCTGAATGATGTTCTAACTTTGCCAGTAAAGAGTGTGCTGCTGTCGATGTCCTATTTATATGTACCTCAGGAGTTAGATTAGGTGTTACGTCCACGGCCAGGTCTCTTTCTCGAATCGTCACAGGTAGGCAGTTCCCCTTCATTGTGTACTGTCCCTTTGGTCTCTAATCACCAACTCTCATTTCCATAAGCTTACATTTGCTCGTGTTGAACTGCAGAAGCAATTTCTATGACCATCTCTGCAACCTGTTCAAGTCCTCTTGGAAGATCCTACAATCCTCATCTGTCACAACTCTTCTCATTGATTTTGCGTCTTCCGCGAACATTGACATTTAGGACTCTACTTCTGTAAAAATGTCATTGACGTATATTTGAAATAGAACTGGTCCCAGCACCGTCCTTGAGGTACTCCACTCGTTACTGCTCTCAAGTCCGACTTCTCGCCCCTTACCATTTCTCTCTGGCTCCTTCCTGTTAGGTAGTTCCTTACCCATGCTAGGGCGTTTCTGCTTACTCCCGCCTACCTCTCAAGTTAGAATAGCAATCTCATGTGTGGTACTGCGGCCTTTTGGCAGTCCAGAAATATGCAGTCTTCCCCTTCCTTCTCTGTCCTGCCTTATGTTCGTTAATTTATCATAGTTCCAAAAGGTTTGTTAAACATGATTTCCCTTTCCAGAACCCATGTTGATGTTTGTTTACAAACCTTAGTCTCTCCAAGTGTGTAGTCCGTGACCACCGCACCAATGATCGTCTAGACGATCATTGGTGCGGTGGTCACGGTACCCATGCCGTCCAGGGTGATCCTGGACGGCATGGGTTCGAATCCTGGTCGGGTCAAAGAGTTCTTAGTTATCTATAGCTTGCGCATTCATGCAGCTTTCTCACATATATATAATATGTATATATATATTCCAATATGAAAAAAACAGACAGAAATGAGGGAATAAGATGAAACTGATTTTATGCCCTTCTTTTTTCTCTTAACGTTCAACAGACCATGACAACTATGTTCTACAGAACATTCATGGAGTTAGTTACATAGCTGGAACCCACTAGCTAATTCTTAGGTATTTTCCGTTCCTGTCAATGTTCCTGTTACTTTGTTACAGTTAACACTAATTGCAATCCCCCTTTGCCGTCACTGAATGAAAACTAAATTCCCCAATACCGTGAAAATTATATTTAAAATATTTAGGAAATAACTACCAGTGTACAAATGTAATTATCAGAAAAACATCTTTAAGTCCTTGTAACTATGCAGCACTTTCATGGAATATGAGGACAAGGAGCTGGGATCATCAGGGCTCGAACGCCGGTCTGAAATAATTTTCAGTATTTTTTAGGAAGTCTGATTGGCTCAGTTCTAATGGATTATAAATTACTTGCATCTTCCAGCATACAGGTTTGCAAACATAGACTTACCGAAGACTTTGAGCTGGACTCACTGTGGACTTGGAACTTGTCTCACTATGGACTTTGAACTTGACTCACTATGGACTTTGAGGGTGACTTACCGAGGTATTTAAATATGACTCATGATGGACTTTTAGGGAGACTCATCTTGGACTCTGGGAGACGATGGGGGGACGGGGATGATTCGCTGTGGACTCTGAGAATGACTCACTGTAGTCTCAGTAGGACTCACCGTAGACTCAACAGGACTCACCGTGGACTCTGAGAGTGACGTGACGGGAGAGTTTGGGCTCGGTGTTGACCTGACACTCGTAGACGCCCGCGTCCCTCAGCTGTGAGTACCGAACCACCAGCGTCCACTCCGTGCTTCCCTCAGCGTGCACCACCTGTCGGAGACACAGATGGTCTACTGGAGAGGTCTGGGGACAGGTGAACCACCTGCTAGAGAGGTAGACACAGGTGAACCACCTGCTAGAGAGGTAGACACAGGTGAACCGCCTGAAGCGGTTCCGTAAATACTGGGTGTTTCGTCTAGTAATCTGAAATATTTATATAAGTGCAGCTGGGGGATAACTATTGTTGACTAGTACCTGACTAGTAACTATTGTTGAGTAGTATCTGACTAGTAACTATTGTCGAGTAGTAACTATAGTAATTTATGTATTTTCAATGCTTCCTTTCATGCCTTTTACACGGCCCCATAGACATTTATTGAAAAATTTCCATATAATATATCAATGTTGACATTTGAATGGAAGTATATTGGATAGTCAAACCTCGTGAGTTAATGTTATGTCAGACGAATCTTTCAATGCCTTTTGTATCCTTTTTTGATGTACAAAAAAGCAAATCCGCCTCTGCCAACCTAACCCCAAATTTTTACACTATAAAAGTCTGCGAAACGTCTCATAATTTAGGAAATGTGTGACTACTGGAAGTATCAATCACCTTGCAGCGGTACGAGACGACCCAAGCGCTGAAGGTAGCTCGTTACGAGCCTCAAGACGGGCCAATAACCTGCCGTTGATTCACTAAACACCTCTTACATCACGCAGTCACCTGAGAGGAGCCTTGAGCGGTCGGTTGCTCTAATGGGTTAATTTTATCTCAGTGTGAAGAAGCGTTTTGATCAATGTGGCTATCGGGAAGTGGGTAGGTGGGTGGAGGGATGGTAGATAGGTAGGTGGAGGGAGGGATAGTTTGGGTATGGATAGTCGTTATGGTAACTGGTCGTTAAGGGTTGTTTATGAGTTAGATGGTGAATGCTGGCTGGGAGAGGTTAATAGTGATACTTTGCTTGTTAGAGATAGGTTGGCTGTGGGTGGGATGGGAGTTAAGGTGGAAAGGGAAGAGAGAGAGTAGGGGTAAACGTTGGTTAGAATTAGTTGGAAGAGAAGGAAGGAGCGCGAATGGAAAGCGAGTGGGTAAGGGTAGAGGAGAAAATAAATATATATATATTCGTGAAGATGAAATGGCAACGCTTTGAAGTGTTGATCAGTGGAGTGCATGTGATGAAAATATTGACAGAGCGTAGAGGGCTCGGTCGAGCAGGATGGGTAGAAGCGGAATGGGACACGTAGAGCACAGAAGGATAAGAAAATTTAGAGCAGGCTACAGGTGGCCAAAACTTTCTAGAGCTGGCTAGAAATAGCCAGAAGAGAATAGAACAGGCTAGAGCAGACAAGAGCAAAAGAAACGATGGTAAAGAAGAGGATAGCTGAGTAGATAAAGGTGAGGATAGCAGAGTTAATTTGGGCAGCATACAAGTACCAACTCAAAAAAAGTGAGACTTCACTATCCAGTTTTGATAGAATCTCGAAGTTATAATCAACAAGAATGACAAAAATAGGAAAATAAATCACAACTGTTCGAAATAAAATAATATTGTTCTAGAGTTAATATCAAGAAGCTTAGTTAAGCATTTAATGCTTTCCTTTTTACCATCACCTTCAGTTTGGCCAGTTGCGAACCCCCAGTTAGAACGCTGAGTGGATGATCCCATGACAAGAGTGGTTAGATAAACATGAGTTAGGGTGTTTGGGAAAGTACACAAGAGAATGGTTGGATAAGGCATGAGTGGGAGTAGTAGGATTAGTAGATAAAGAGGGGGAGGGGTTGGATAAGGAGATGAATGGGGAAGTGGGGGGTGGATTGGGTACCTGGAATCGTTGGTCGGCAGAGTAGGTGTGGAATCCTGTTGTCAGAATGTGTAGGTCCCTCCGCCTCAGCCACGTTACCTGGGTAGAAAAAAAACATCTTTAATAATACCTCTCCAATTACAATTGCCAATTTATACTATTTTTTAAACATAGTTGTTAAAATTGGTAAAAATCTGTATTTAGAAGGTGCTTAAAGCAACATTGAAATATAAAAACTGGTTATTCTGTTGTTTGAAACATTTATATTTGATTTGCATAATTGTGCTCCAAATAATAGTAACCAGCACTTGTATGTCATGTTGTAGGTGGCATATTAATCATTGTAGTTGTCATATCCCTCGCTACACCTGTCATATCCCTCGCTGCACCTGTCATATCCCTCGCTGCACCTGTCATATCCCTCACTGCACCTGTCATATCCCTCGCTACACCTGTCATATCCCTCGCTACACCTGTCATATCCCTCGCTGCACCTGTCATATCCCTCACTGCACCTGTCATATCCCTCGCTACACCTGTCATATCCCTCGCTGCACCTGTCATATCCCTCGCTGCACCTGTCATATCCCTCGCTGCACCTGTCATATCCCTCGCTGCACCTGTCATATCCCTCGCTGCACCTGTCATATCCCTCCCTGCACCTGTCATATCCCTCGCTGCATCTGTCATATCCCTCGCTGCACCTGTCATATCCCTCGCTGCACCTGTCATATCCCTCGCTACACCTGTCATATCCTTCGCTGCACCTGTCATATCCCTCGCTGCACCTGTCATATCCCTCGCTGCACCTGTCATATCCCTCGCTGCATCTGTCATATTCCTTGCATGCACCTGTCATATCCCTCGCTGCACCTGTCATATCCCTCGCTGCACCTGTCATAACCGCGAGTGCATAACTGCGCTGCAACTGCAATAACTCAGTATCCACATCACTCTTACACTGCAAGGAGCTACAGAAACAGGTGGGAAGTTTCACTGCCATATCCTGCATTCACGAGCCCAAGTTTACTGAAAGAACCAGTTGGTTGAAAACTCTCGGCGCCTTTTCCCCCAGACCCGGACATTCCACCAGTCATCAGAGAGTGCCTCTGGAGTAGATCCACGGTGGTGGAATAGCTCTTTTAATAATAGGTATAGAAGTGTCCAACAAGCAGAGAGTTTGGTTCATAGCTGGTAGAATGGGGAATTATTTTTTATTCTAGTTTTCTCTCATTCGTCAGACTGTTTACTACGTGGTAAACTCAGTTTGTTTACCTCAGACTGTTTACCTCAGTCCTCACCCGACACCGGTGTGTCTGTGGCAGTAGGTCACCTTACCAAGATAGCAAACATGGTCTCGTGTGCAATATATTTGATGGGAGGAACTCGCTTCGTGAAAATGTCAAGAATATCACTATGTAAAGTTTTTCAAAAGGCCGTTTACCCAGTGTTGAAACAGCTCCACGTATGGGGAACTAGAATCCGTGTTTTGAGATCGAATTCAGATTCCTGAACTCTTCAGAGGCAATGGAACTCATGCTCCTTTATGCCCAACCTGTGTCTCAATATTTCCCCAGATGCTCCACATTTTCTTGATTCTATTGCTTACAGAATACTTACCTGCTTACAGTTAAAAACGTTCTGATAGCCGAGGAAGAATGATGGGAAAATTTAAATCTAATATATATGTCTAACAACAATAGCACAGTGGATCTGAAAGAAGAGATGCGACCAGCTTCTCGGTAATCTAGTGGAGAGTGAAACACTCTGGCCATGAAAACTGATAAGGATTCGTCCTGGTAGGGTCAGCGATCATCTTATCTTGCCATGACGCGCGCGCCAGTGTGTACTTATCTATTTGTACTCACCTATTTGTACTCATCTATTTGTGCTTGTGGGGGTTGAGCTCTGGGTCTTTGGTCCCGCCTCTCAACTGTCAATCAACTGGTGTACAGGTTCCTGAGCCTACTGGGCTCTATCATATCTACACTTGAAACTGTGTATGGAGTCAGCCTCCACCACATCACTGCCTAATGCATTCCACCTGTTAACTACTTTGACACTGAAAAAGTTCTTTCTAACGTCCCTGTGGCTCATGTGGGGACTCATTTTCCACCTGTGTCCCCTTGTTCGCGTTCCACCCGTGTTAAATAGTTTATCCCTGTCTACTCTGTCGATTCCCTTGGGGATTTTGTAGGTAGTGATCATGTCTCCCCTTACTCTTCTGTCTTCCAGTGTCGTAAGGTGTATCTCCGGTAGCCTTTCCTCGTAACTCATGCCTCTTAGTTCTGGGAGTAGCCTAGTGGCATACCTCTAAACTTTTTCCAGCTTCGTCTTGTGTTTGGCAAGGTACGGGCTCCATGCTGGGGCCGCATACTCCAGGATTGGTCGTACATATGTGGTATACAAAATTCTGAATGATTCCTTACACAGGTTCCTGAAGTCGTTCCTGTCGGAGTCGTTCGTGTGTGTGTGTGTGTGTGTGTGTGTGTGTGTGTGTGTGTGTGTGTGTGTGTGTGTGTGTGTGTGTGTGCTCGTATTCTACCCTAATAATTTCCAGATAATGCTTCCACTTGCGAGGAATATCTCTTGTGCCACCCTATTGTTTTTAAAAATGCCCCGTGCCACTCTGTTCCAGATTTATTTGAAACTAAACAAGTTAACATCACGACCGGTTTGATACTGGACTATAGCTAGCACCTCACACCGGCCAGGACTATTGATCTCCCAAATCTGGGTCCTGGATTAGCTAGGAGCACCACACTAAACACAGGACTACCCACCACCACAGTCTGATGCCTTGAACCATCTATACCCATCCTCTCGACCTTGGAATAGCAAGGAGATCCATTGAAGGATTTATACTATTAAACACTCAATATTCTTGGCCCTGTACTAGCTAACCCTAACATTCTTGGCCCTGTACTAGCTAACCCTAACATTCTTGGCCCTGTACTAGCTAACCCCACCATTCAGGGCTCTGTACTAGCTAACTCCACCATTCAGGGCCCTGTACTAGCTAACCCCACCATTCAGAGCCCTGTACTAGCTAACCCCACCATTCTAGGCCTTGTACTAGCTAACCCCACCATTCTAGGCCTTGTACTAGCTAACCCCACCATTCTTGACCCTGTACTAGCTAACCCCACCATTCTTGACCCTGTACTAGCTAACCCCACCATTCTTGGCCCTGTACTAGCTAACCCCAGCATTCTAGGCCTTGAACTAGCTAACCACACCATTCTTGGCCTTGTACTAGCTAACCACACCATTCTTGGCCCTGTACTAGCTAACCACACCATTCTAGGCCTTGTACTAGCTAACCCAACCATTCTAGGCCTTGTACTAGCTAACCCCACCATTCTTGACCCTGTACTAGCTAACCCCATTATTCTAGGCCTTGTACTAGCTAACCCAACCATTCTAGGCCTTGTACTAGCTAACCCCACCATTCTTGACCCTGTACTAGCTAACCCCATTATTCTAGGCCTTGTACTAGCTAACCACACCATTCAGGACTCTGGACTAACAAGCTAGCGTTAAAGAAAAAAGTTATCTCTACGAAATACTAAATCAAGTTAACAAAATGTTCCTACGATCAGGCCACTGCCTCTGGTGCTTGAAATTATCAAACTGCATCATTTTTTGAAACTCGAAACAGCCTCTTTCATCGGAGATAACGACTCGTTCCACTCAGCGAAGGAAGCTATAATGAGGGTAATTAGTTATTACAGCAAACTGAGTGTCTTGAAGGCGGGTACTTGGCCAGGCAAGACTCGTAGACACTCGTGATAACATTTTTGTGTTGAAAGGAATACTCAAGTCTCCTTTCTTACTTTAAGTTGGGGTTATATAGGAGAGATGAGACGAGAGTGTGGATAAAGGTAATAGGGAGGCTGTGATAAGGGTACATATCCCAGTCATCACTAGTAGGGGTAGGTCTGAGGTTAGAGACTTAATGGGAAGGCTGTGATAAGGGTAGATAGATCAGGTGGTAGAATGTGCTGCTGTTGTAGGGTAGATTAGGTGGTAGATAAGGGGAAGGTGAGTGGGGTGGAAGGTATTGGAAATGATGAGGGAACTGGAAGGACATGAAGGAGATAGTGGATGATAGAATGAGGGAGATATTAGTGAGGTAGGAGAGCTGGAGGATGAGATAAGGGCAGGTGATGAAGATGGTGGCATGAGGTACGTGGGAGAAGGAAGGAGGCTGGTTATGGATGAGTAATGAAGGCAAGACCGATGGTTGATGAGGAGGACAAGACTAAGGGATGAGTTGTGTCATGGTACAAAAAAACCCTCATGTCATTACTCAGCCCATAGTGTGAGTCATACTCACCCACATCCTGCATGAACAACTGTATGGGAAATGTTATTTGTATTAAATGAATTATTATGTGTATTGAGGCTATGTCAGTTTGTATGTAGATTTGTATAGTTTATTTCAGTAAGACAAGATGGAGCATGGTAGATCTCTGATGACCTACCAGTCGACGACACTTTACATCCCTGTGGTACACTGTAGCCAATGGGAGACCCATGACATTAATAATCAGATTCACAGCCCATGAATAGACCACAATCTTCCCTTCTTTGTGTCATGTTACGTTGCTCTAACTTGGTGTTGTCTGACTATTATAGATTTTGTCTAATTAAGGTCCTATTAGGTAGACTCAACCCAATTTTTGAACAGCGAAGAAAGAGTTACCACAGGACCCACTCCTCAGCAGAGCTGTTCATAGGAAGGAAGTTTTGGTGAAATCTTGTTTACGTTAAAAGTGCTTTTCCTTATGAAAGGAATTACGGCACAATGACTGTGTCTATCGACATACAGATTTCCTGTGATCTGTTGCTGTTAGCAACCAGTCTGGTGGATTATTTGTGAGGTAGAGCATTATCCATGCCAGGCAGCCAGTACCTAATCCACCCCAATATGTTTCTCTCTCTCTATCCTCCTACTATCCGTCCCCTACGCTCTCAGCATCCCAGCAGTAATTCCTCTGCATTACAAGCGTGTTCCAAGCTATTAAGGGAAATTGGATAGTGGACTTCCAGGGTGCTAAGACGTGGTGGTTGGTTGTTAAGCCGCGACGTCGTAT